TTAGGTTTAGGTTTAGGTTTAGGTTTAGGTTTAGGTTTAGGTTTAGGTTTAGGTTTAGGTTTAGGTTTAGGTTTAGGTTTAGGTTTAGGTTTAGGTATAGGTTTAGGTTTAGGTTTAGGTTTAGTTTAAGGTTTAGGTTTAGGTTTAAGTTTAGGTTTAGGTTTAGGTTTTGGGTTAGGTTTAGGTTTAAGTTTCGGTTTAGGTGGAGGTTTAGGTTTAGGGTTATGTTTAGGTTTAAGTTTCGGTTTAGGTGTAGGTTAAGTTTTTGGTTCAAATTTAAGTTTAGATTTCAGTTTAGAATTAGGTTTAGGTGAATGTTAAGGTTCAGGTTTAGGTTACTGTTCAGGTTTAGGTTTAGGTTTAGGTTTAGGTTCAGGTTTAGGTTTATATTTAGGTTTAGGTTTAGGTTTAGGTTTAGGTTTAGGTTTAGGGTTAGGTTTAGGTTTAGGTTTTGGTTTAGGTTCAGGTTTAGGTTAAGGTTCAGGTTTAGGTTAATGTTTAGGTTTAGGTTAAGGTTCAGGTTTAGGTTAAGGTTCAGGTTTAGGTTAAGGTTCAGGTTTAGGTTAAGGTTCAGGTTCAGGTTTAGTTTTATAAATTAACTGACCTATTGAATCATAAAGTGATCCTATCATCTGAAGGACACAGTTATCACCTCCTCCTGAAGTTGTAACCTGTGTGGAAATAAACTAAGTTTAAAAAACTATCTTTCTCATTTTTTTAAAGGTTTAGTTTTTTTTGAAAAATTGATCGTCATGACTAGACAGCGTATAATTTTTACATCCAGTTAATCCCTGGGGGTAGAGATATTTCTAATAGAGTTGAATTATGAAAGGGACTGTAAGTGTAATTTCAACTGACTCTCCACTTATTAATTGACATGTCTGATTCACAATACCCTTTTAAACCTTTATGTGATCAAACATGTGAAATATAACGTTGTTTTACTACAGTGAAAAGTTTTACATCGTGAACATTTCTGACATTGGTTCAAAAGCATGCATTCTTGATCAGACAGCATATAAGGGTTTCATTGTGAATAGGACTTGCCAGGGGCGAATACAGGGGGGGGGCGGCAGGACCTTCGCACCCCCTGACAGATTCAGGGGGGGCAGATTAAGGGAAAGAGAACCTAGTGAAAAACAGGAAAGTCGCCTTTTGCTTCCTAGGGGAGGATATTATATAAAACAACTACTTATTTCCATCAACATTATATGATCTCAAGTTTGTCAATCTGATGTTGACGGTTAATTTATCAAATAAAATTGTGTATTTTCTTTTTAAATATTTTCATTTATTCTTGCAAGAGAAAATATTGTTAAAGAAATGTTTTGTCTGCGTCTCAACAGATGGTGTTCAATGCATTAGCATTCCTAACAGTAACATATTGAAAGCAATCATTTATACCTAAATACATTGTACATAATATATCAGAAGAATTATTAAGTATGAATAGGAACGTATGGATGGAAGTAGGGTTGAATACTCTCTACACAGTTTATTTTATACAGATAACAAGAAAATCAGTTTAACTCTTTTTTTTCTTTAATGAGAAATAATGTGATTACAAAACTACCTTTCAATAGCAATATGTGATTGCAAAACTACCTTTTAATAGCAATATGCGATCGCAAAACAACCTTTTAATAGCAATATGTGAAAGCAAAACTACCTTTTAATAGCAATGTGTGATTGCAAAACAACCTTTCAAGAGCAATATGTGATTGCAAAACTATTTTTATAGAGCAATATGTGATTGCAAAACTACCTTTCAAGAGCAATATATGTGATTGCAAAACTACCTTTCAAGAGCAATATATGATTGCAAAACTACCTTTTAATAGCAATGTGTGATTGCAAAACAACCTTTCAAGAGCAATATGTGATTGCAAAACTATTTTTATAGAGCAATATGTGATTGCAAAACTACCTTTCAAGAGCAATATGTATATTGTATGTATAGAGGAATAAATATATCTGAGAGAGGAATACAATGGAGAGAGAGGAATAAATATATCTAAGAGAGGAATACAATGAAGAGAGAGGAATAAATATATCTGAGAGAGGAATACAATGGAGAGACAGGAATAAATATATCTGAGAGAGGAATAATATGGAGAGGTGGAAATATATTTAAGAGAGGAATAAATATATCTGATAGAGGAATAATATAGAGAGGAGGAAATATATTTGAGAGAGGAATAGAATGGAAAGGAATTAATATATCTATATTAATATAGAGAAATATATCTGAGAAATAATACAATGTAGAGGAATTAATATACCTGAGAGAGGAATAGAATGGAAAGGAACAGTTAATAAGAGAGTAATAGAATTGAGTAAATTTATCCGGAAGAGAATGGATACATGTGTGGTTCCTTGAATCCGATGAATTCCTAGGTTCAGGTTTCAATGCTCGATACAATCTTGTGGTTAGACCTCCATACTCAGATTCTAGGTTTAGGTTTGAGTTTAGGTTTAGGTCTAGTTTTAAGTTAAGGTTTAGTTTTAGGTTTAGGTTTAGGTTTAGGTTTAGGTTTAGGTTTAGAATTAGGTTTAGGTTTAGGTTTAGGTTTAGAATTAGGTTTAGGTTTAGGATTAGCTTTAAGTCTAGGTTCAGGTTTAGGTTTAGGTTTAGGTTTAGGTTTAGGTTTAGGTTTAGGTTTAGGATTAGGTTTAGGTTTAGGTTTAGGTTTAGGTTTAGGTTTAGGTTTAGGTTTAGGTTTAGGTTTAGGTTTAGGTTTAGGTTTAGGTTTAGGTTTAGGTTTACCCCCCTCAATTAAATCCTGTATCCGCCCATGGGACTTGCTAATCTTAATGACTTGAATGGTCATTCAAAAATATGTCTATACAGATCGTTAAACGACATTATAAGATTTGCAATATATACTGCCAACCAAATAGATTATCAAGTAAAATAGGTGGCAACAGAGAAATGGACATATTATACACGACGTCACTAAAGGAAAATTTCTCACATTCGTTGACATGTTTTCCAAGATTAAATGAAAAAGTGTTAAAACAGAAAATAAGAGACACATAAAATGGCACTTATTTTACTGTAAGATTAGCACTTTATCTTTAAATTATATCACTATAATTAATAATTTTTTCGGACACAAAAACTAAATTGACACTTGTGACGTCAGAATACAGCTGTACTAAGAGATGTAGAAATTCTACGTTGTCATCTATTGTACTAAAATATATTTGCTGCCAACTAATCCGAAATCTTCTTACCTTTGTTTGATCAGTGAAGAATAGTTTAAGGGGTTTAGCCTCCTGATTTCTGTACAGGACAATGTCCAAAACAAAATCAAAAAATCAAACCGTGCGAGCTGGGAGATTAAATAAGTTTGGTTTTGGTGAACTATACTAAATTGGATTAAATATTTATGTGTTTTGTTTGTAGATAAATATGATTTGGTAAATATAATCTAGGTCGGTCGGGTTGGGTCAAAATGGTATAATTTGTATAAGTTTAGATTAAATAAGAGTTTTGCTAAAGAAAAGCTAGTTATGTGACATCTGAGTTGGATTGGTTTAGGTAAAAACGGTTTGTTTTGGGTTAAAAGGGTCTGGTTTAGTTAAAGCTGATTTGGTTTGGAAAAATATAGTTTGTGTTAGTTAAAGATGGTTTGTTTTTGTGAAAGCTTGTTTGGATTTGTTTGGGTAAAGACGGACTGCCTTGGTTTGGATAACTATGATCTGGTTTGGATAAAGATAAGTTTTTTGTTTTAAATAAAAATGATTTTATTTTGCTTGAATAAAAATTATTTTGTTTGGTTTGGATAAAGATGGTTTTATTTGGTTTGAATATTGTGCCTGTAAACATGTTTGTGTCCTGCCGGAAGATAGAATATAATGTTGAAGATAAGGTTCAAGTTCTCAAACAGTTTACACATACTGAAATATTAATAGGTTCAGTTCACTAGTGGTCAAAAAAGTTATTTGTTTACAACGATTGCATAAAAGGGTGTCCCAAAAAAGATGGCATCCATATTGAAATTTATTTATTGTGCTTTTGAATATAATGTATATACTAGGATTAGACAAAGTTTAAAGATTTTGAAGTTTTGAAGATATCGAGACTTAATGTGGAGAAACAACTGAAAACCTAATTATTTAATTGTTAATTATGATTATACATTCAAGGTGGCACAAATTAAAATAGGGATTAGGATTTTTCAGCCTTTTTAAAAAAGACTTGAAAATGTGCTGTAGTGTAAAGTTTGTAATGTTATAACAGGAAATTTAATTAATTGTCCACGTGGATCAACGACGATTTAAATATTGTATTGTACTGTAAACCTGATATGTACACTGTGTACATGAATATTGAACTGTAAACCTGATAAGTAAACTGTGTACATGAATATTGTATTGTAAACCTGATATTTACACTGTGTATATGAATATTGTACTGTACACCTGATATGTAAACTGTGTATATGAATATTGTAGTGTATACCTGATATGTACACTGTGTACATGAATATTGTACTGTATACCTTATATGTACACTGTGTACATGAATATTGTACTGTATACCTGATATTTACACTATGTACATGAATATTGTACTGTATACCTGAAATTTACACTGTGTACATGAATATTGTACTGTATACCTAATATGTACACTATGTACATGAATATTGTACTGTATACCCGATATGTACATTGTGTACATGAATATTGTACTGTTTACCTGATATGTACACTGTGTACAAAAGAAAGGTTTGTTTTGATGTGAGTAAAGTGAACACTAAAAACAATTCCGTAGGCCAGGAAGAACGAGATAAATCCAACTAAGATTTTAAACCATATTTAATCGGATTTATATTTAACATTTATTTTGAAAATGATCAAGTATCAAACAGTTTTTACCGAGAATTAATTTCACAAATCTTTTGTTTTGGACAATGCCTGCTCAGGAAATCCACACATGTTACTTTAAGTTTAGTTCTCAAAATGTTGAAAAACTATATGCAGTATTTTTGTATTACTAGAGTTGTATTTATTAAATATTATGAGGACTGGGATTACTAAATATATGATGTGGAGCACTCAACATGATTTCCTACTTTCAAGAGAATTGAATATTATCACGACTTGATAAATTCTTTTTATAACCCTTTTTTATGGATCGAGGGAGGTTAAAATTATGGAAGAGTCTAGACCTTAAATATTCTATATAGTAACTTAATATCAACCACAAACTCTTTTTGATATTATTAAATAGTCCATATGAAAGTTTACACCTTCAGGTTGCCAAGATATAGTTAGAAAATTAAAAAAATTATTGGATATAAATTGAAACAAAGAAGACAGGTTCAAATCAAACAGTTGCTCCAAAACATTGCGTTTAGGACGATTTATTTATAAGCCGCCGAAAATAGCATTTGTGTAAATATGTCTAAAGTATTTTAACAAAAGAACGTTGCATATTCAGTTTGTATATTCGCATTAATGGATGGTGGAATGTTAGTATTTGTCGAAGATAAACTCACAGCTTATAGAAATAAGAATTGTAGATTATCTACAGTTAAACCCTAAATAAACCATACATAGAAAGAATTCATCGAATGTCGTATTCTTCCCTTTCTGATAATGAAATGCTGCAGATATTTAGTTTTTTAATCAAATGATTATATGGAGCTCTTAAAAACTGTTTCCGCATATTTATGGCTATTTGTTTATTTTCGCAAATACTGAAATCTACCTAAAATAGTATAAAACCCATTGAATAATTTTTAAGAAGACATTTGATAAATTCTTTCGGTGTATGTCTCATTTGGGGTTTAACTGTACTAAGAGAAAAAAGCTGTATTGTGACAGGCAAAAACCTCATGAAAGAATTGATTCTTTGCCACAAACTCAAACTTACTTCAATAAATGTTGAACTAACATCTACTTTTTTTACTCTGCAGAGGTTTTGTCCATCACCATCACCGAATTTTTAATAATCCCTGTATATTTGCAACTTGATGGTATAAACTTTTGAAATTTAAATTTAAATTTTTTATCTAACTGAAATATCTAAGCTCCACGAAATTAGAAATTAGAAAATCAGAGTTTGTGGCAAAAGTTAGTTAAATTTTATGATAAATCTTTCCTAGAAGTAATGCTAGAAAACTATTGTCGTTCATGTGGAACACAATGAGCCAGGTCAGTATCCCTGAAAAAAAAGAGTTAATTTAACGGAGTATTTCTCCTTGTCATATCAGATAATGAAGATTATTAATGAAACCTGAACCATGAATAACAAGGTTTGTTCAACAATGGCATATTGTGGTGGAATAATGCTCTTGCCATACACAATGTTAATAGAAAAAATTAGGACAGTTTACATTGAAACAAGAAACTTTGCAAAAATTCAAGAAGCTAATTAATAATTTCAGAAAGTTATCACTAACTCTTTAGGTTAGTAAGTAACGTAAGAAAGTTTATTGTAAGATTAGAAACTTTGTATTAAGGTTAGAAACATTTAACTAAGTAAGAATATTTATATAGTTAGGTAAGAATGTTTATAGTTAGGTAAGAATCTTTGTATGTTAAGTTAAGAACATTAGCAGCTTAATCCTAAAATCCTAAAAGAAAATGCCTAGAGGTAAGAAACTGTGTTTACATTGTTTTTGCGAAACATTTTGAGAATCCTAACAGTTTTTTCGGGGATTTTAGTGTGGCGTAAATTATTTTTAAAATGTACCAAGAACAGAAGAGATATGGAAGGCAAGGAAGAAGAAGAGAAGAGAAAACTGGAAGGAAGGATCAATCCAATCTCGGGAGAAACTATTCAACTCCTTTCTGAATATACAAAATCATAGACATATAATTATTAATTCGGTCATTTTTGATTTTTTTAAGAAATTAGAAATAATTAGATGATTTCTGAATATTCTAGACTAATAGGCTTCCATGCAAGGCAATTCGTGCCCTTCTTCGATTCTAAAAAATCGAAATTTTTTTAAGGCACATTTTTTCAATTCTAAACATGACCTTTAATGGAATCAATGTCAGGTTCTGCAAAAATGTGGGCCCGATCGGTTCAGCCGTGTTGACGTTTATCGGTTACAAAGAAAACAAAGTCTATTACTATATATATATAAAGATATCGGACATAATTAGGTGATTTATGGATATTCTAGACTTTAGACATAATTAGGTGCTTTCTAAATATTCTAGACTACATTGAATCATGTGAGGTTCCACACAAAAATTGGGACCGATCGGTTCAGCCGTTTTGACGTTTATAGGTTACAAAGAAAAAGACAAGCAAAGTATATTCACATAGATATCGGACATAATTATTTGATTTCCAAATATCATAAAAACTAGTGGATTTCTGAATATTCAAGATCATAAATAATGGTAAAACTATTTGCTTTGTAAGACCTTCAACGACACATAATGTTCCTTCAATGTTTAAGTCCTATTCCAGTTTTATCTGTCAAACTTTTACAGAGACTGTTTCTTAATCGTTGGTGCATTTTTAAACTCTGATTTTTATTCTTTAAGATCTGATGATTTTGCGACAAAAATATATTTATTAAACTTTTAACCCGAATTCTTACCTCAAATTTTTCAAAAGAAAACTTTTCCCGCTTCCCCACTTTGCGTAGAGTCCGACTGTTATTGGCATAGATAGTGACGGTTCTGTTAGTATATCAGCTAGAGCTGATCCATACAGATCATATCCCAGCATACTTTCAGAATCATCATTCGTGTTCAACTTACGGGCCCCGAACACCAAACTAAATGTGTTTTTTTTTATTCAAAAAGAAATTGAGACTTTGCCATAAAATCCTAATTTTATGATGCCTATATCTGTGCTACCCTATGTTATAGACCTTAAATATTTCAAACCATGAATTCTGTTCTGTTCAAATAATATAATTTTGCTATAAGAATACTTTTCTCATCTTATTTAAAAATATCATTTCATTTTGCTATAAGAATACTTTTCTCATCTTATTTAAAAAGTATCACCAAAAAGTGTTAATAGGAGTTACAAATCTACATTAAAAGGTTATATAACAATAAAGGAATCTTATAACAAAATGTAAGTAAACGTGAAAAAAGGGACAACGAGTTGATTATGCATTTTAAATCAAAATTTTTCAGTAATAATTAAGGGGACTGTAAAGGAAAAATGAAAGGGGGTATAGGCAGAAACCTGAGAATCTCAGGAGTTGAAAGATACCTATAAGAAATTGACATAAAACTTTGTCAATATTGTACCAAAACGTATATATGTCTCAATCAACTCCTGAGATTCTCAGGTTTCAGCCTATACACCTTTTCATTTTTCATTTACAGTCCCATTAAGAAAGTAAACCTAATGGACTTCGACATAAATTCAAATGACTCTCCATTTTTAGAGTTGCATGTCAGATCAAGTTTTTTTTTCAATTGAGATTTCTCGATTTTAAGTGACTTGCGCACTCTGCTTCAGGAAGAAGGAAACTCTCAGAATTATCAGTTTTTAAGCTAGAAAACCCACGATATCTTCCACACGGTTTAAACGGTACTGTTGTGAATCAAACATGTCACTCTTTAAATATAGAGTCATCTGAATTTGCGTGTTTAGTCCCTTTAAACGATTTAATTACTAACCTGAGCAGGGTTTCAACAATTCCTCGTGATCTAGCTCTCATAGCAATATGTAGAGCAGAGTCACCACACTATATCAATAGATGAATAGAAAGATGAATAGAATGATAAAAGAATGATTAATGAATACATGAATAGATGAATACAATGGTTAATAGATGATTAGATATATAGGTGAATACATGAATAGACGAATAGAATGATAAATAGATGAATAGAATGATAAATAGATTAATGGAATGATAAATAGATGAAAAATTAAATAGATGAATAGATATATAAATCAATAGATAAATAGATTATATAAATCAATAGATTAATAGACGAACAGCTATTAAATAGCTAGATGAATCAATAGTTAGATGAATAGATGTATAGCTGAATATATATAGATGAATAGCCACATAGAATATAGAATATGAATAGATGCATAGGTGAATAAATGAACAAATTAAAAGACAAATACATATATGAATGTAAATAAAGAAGAGTAAAATTAAGAAATGAATAGAATATTTTGTAAAAAGAATGGCTGATGTACTTCCCAAATAGATACTTTATAAATTAAGTACAAAAGTTAGTCAATTTTATAGGATTCCATGTATTCTGAAAACTTTAAACATTTTTAACATTCTTGGAAAATTGAACCTGCCACCGAGGGCGGGGAAACTTTTAAAATGTATTGTTTCAAAATATTCTAAATATTCATAATTTTATCGAATATAAGTTTAGGTTGGGTGCTTGAATACTGAACAATTGTATCTAGTTTGTTAACCCAGCTTATGATGTTCAGTCAAGGTAAACATATTCCCGTGGTTCCAAAAACTTTTAAAATCAAAATTTGAGGCAAATAGGTCTACAGGTTCATGATCGGACAAACAAACAAAGAAACAGAGATTACTACTTTATAGATAAAATTTGACCTGATCAGTTGTTGTTATCTTAGCTTTCTTCTCAATGAGAAGTTGAACCATTCCAAGGTTTCTATTCTTTACAGCTCGTATTAGAGGACTCAACCCTAAAGTATTTATATAAATGTAATCCACAAGATAAGTTTGTATTAAGAGTGTCCTCGTTCTTGAATATCTAAAGGGATCGATTTTAGATTGTTAAAATCATAATTTTGGAGCCACGAAAAAGAAAATGTTAAATTTCACTAAGTGAAAATATGTTGATATGGTATCTAAAGATAATTGGAAGTACTGTTGTTCATTTGTTTTGTTTTGAAATTTTGAAATTTTGTTTACCAATGGTAAAAAAACGGAGTTTTTTGCACTTTGCCAAGTATGTTGTATCAAAATTCATATTTTGTCTATAACATGCTGACTCTTGAACCGATTTCAATGATTTCAACGTTTTCTAAAAACGATTTTTTCGTACTCTGAAAAAGTCTCAAAAACCAAGAATATAATTTTTTTAAATCGTCCTTTAAAATGTACATATATTCAAGGTTAACCCCCCCCCCTCCCCTCCCATTGAATATTGTCCACCATAGTTTCAGTAGAAGTAAATATTTCCATTTACTGATAACGCTGATTAAAGGATTTATAAATCTAATAGATAGATAGATAGATAGATAGAAAGATAGATGTTACCGCCATACTATTTCTATTGGTTCAGATTAGGCACCAAACACATGACTGAACCCTGATTGGATCAGGCGCTAATGGACAAGGCTTACAGGAAAATTGGAACGTTAAAAGAAAGTCAAAATTTTGTACAGTCTGAAGTTTCAAGATTGTTGTATTGTACATAATCTCCGAGTGGAATATGTTCAGTGTGCCCCTCGCTCTTGGCATGCCAAATATTTTTGCATCCCCTTTAAGATGTCTTCGCTTTTGCATTAAGTTTATTAGGTTTATTTTTGCGTTGTTAGAAGAAAGTTTATCTTTTGCGGATATGTTTACTTTTGCATTAACTGTTATTTTTGCTGTGAATTAGATAGAAAATGTTATTTAAGTGTATTGCCAAAATTATTTCATTATTTTTAATTTAGCTTTAGATGGAATCTTCAAGAAATCATAATTTCTGTGATGCAGGCCAAATTATAATCTTATAAAGATTAATTAAATAAATACGATGTTTTAAAGTAGTTTCATAAATCACCTTGATCGCACTGAGCCTCAATATCTGCATTCGCAGATATTAAAATCTGAAATAGAAAAAAAAATCTTTTTCAATCTTTAAAATTAATAATCGTAGTGCACATTCTAAAATATTTTTAAATGCATCAAACGATTTTTTTAAAAAGGAAAATATAGAAATACCTTTGTATTAACTTCAGCATATTTCTTGAGCAGAGCCTCCACTACAGTTTTGTGTCCACCCTAAAATACAAGAGAGTTCGCTAAAAATGAAAGATGGATAGGCTTACGTCGAAAAATATTCGAGGGTGATTGCTTCAAATCTTACCTCTTTATGTTGCGACTAAAAGAAGAAAATTGTTAAAAACGACTAATGCTGAAGAACGTACCGTCCATACAAATTCAGAAAGTTGCAAGATTCAACTCGGATCGTAAAAAAATCTATTTTTTATCCGAACGAATCATTCAGATATTATAAGCTATATTCATCAATTTTTTTAAGCATTGTATAAAGTTGATATTTCATAGCATAATTTACTTGTTTCATGTACGATGTATACATACTTTAAACGACGATTTTTTTGTAGCTAGGTGTCATTGGCCGGAGTCTCTTCTACGTGGACCATAAAAAACATCGATAGAGACACCTAGCGCCCAAATTACCGACCTTTAAAGTAGTATTGCATATGAAACAAGTACAACATTTTTTTTAAAAATCTAAATATTTATTGTCTTCTTTTTTAAATTGTACAAAATAGTTTACGTGTGTTCAATAATAAAGCTTAACGACAAATTCGTTTACATTTTTTTTTTGAGAGATTTGTGTAATAAATACAAAATAGTTTACATGTGTTCAATAATAAAGCTTAACGACAAATTCGTTTACATTTTTTTGAGAGATTTGTATAAGGGTTAAATACATACATTTTTTAAATTAAAAATTTGGAATTAAGGATACTTGGATCCTGCAAAACATAAAAATTGAAGAGTGCACCAATGAAGTAGTAGAACATTAAAAGCATATAATATCAAAATTTAAATATGATGAAATATCAACTATATACGAATACGTAAAAAAATGTATGATTATATGAGTTGTAATATCTGAATAATTTGTTTTGCAATAAATTTTTTTTTTGATCCGATTTGAATATTGCAACTTTCTGAATTTGTATGGACGCTACGTTCTTTTGTATGAGACGTTTTTAACCATTTTCACCTTAAAGGCATTTCCCTCTTTGCCTTGAGGGTCATTTAAAAATACGCCAACAGTCCCTTAAACTTGAACTCTAAATAAAACATCGTCTGACATGGAATTTTTTTAATGACCGGACATACAACAGACATTGTACACACGGTTGTGAGTTACCTTAGCAGCCAGGATCAAGTTTGTATCCCCATATCTATCCTGTAGGTTTACATAAGCTCCTAGTTATAATATTTAATAAATAAATCATTTTATTTGTAAACTAAATCATCTTAATAAACCTAGAGGAGTAACTCCTTGAACTAGGAGATTAACTTATTAAATCAGATTAAACTAGGAGAGTAACTCAGTGAACCAGATTAAACTAGGAGATTAACTTATTAACCAGACTAAACTAGGAGATTAACCCATTGAACCAGACTAAACTAGGAGAGTAACCCATTGAACCAGACTAAACAAGAAGAGTAACACATTATACCAGACTAAACTAGGAGATTAACTTATTGAACCAGACTAAACTAGGAGAGTAACTCATTGAACCAGATTAAACTATAGGAGAGTAACTCATTGAACCAGACTAAACTAGGAGAGTAACTCATTGAACCAGATTAAACTAGGAGATTAACTTATTGAACCAGACTAAACTGGTTTTCCTCATTTATTTTTAATCAAAAAATATTTTTCATATTTTTTTACTAAAAGTATTTTTATCCTACTTAATGGACAAACGTCATTTACATCGCAGATACAATTATTTTCACAATTATAACCAAAATAAATTAATTTAGATTTACAAAATATAATATTTTCCGAATTTGATCATTTTTTAAATGTTAACCTAAGGATAGTTATTTTTAATCTTAAGAGTTCTAATGAAATTTTTAAAAATTCAAATTAAAAAAAAATCTTCAAAAAAAAGTCTTAAGAGTTTGAAAAAAAGTGTTACAATAAATCAAATCTTCTCAACGGAACTATAACCATTACCTTAATTACCTGCCTCGAACTATGGACTCGAACCCACCTGCCTTGAACTACTTGCCTCAAACTACCTGCCTCGAACTACCTGCCTTGAACTACCTGTCTCAAACTACCTTCATCGAACTACCTGCCTTGTTTTGACCTGCCTGCCTTTAACTGATTGCCTTGAACTACCTTCCGAAACCTACCTGGCTTGAAATACCTGCCTCAAACTACCAACCCAAATAAACCTACCTTTAACTACCTGCCTAGAACCTACCTTTCTCGAACCTATTTTTCTTGAACCTACCTGCCTTGATCCTACCTGCCTTGAAACTACCTGCCTTGAACCTACCTGCCTTGTTTCTACCTGCCTTAATTCTACCTGACTTGATCCTACCTGCCTTAATTCTACCTGCCTTGACCTTCCTGCCTTGATCCTACCTGCCTTGATCCTACCTGCCTTGATCCTACCTGTCTTGATCCTACCTGCCTTGATCCTACCTGCCTTGATCCTACCTGCCTTGACACCTACCTGCATTGACCTACCTGCCTTGACCTACCTGCCTTGATTCTAACTGCCTTGATCCTACCTGCCTTGATACTACCTGCTGCTAGAAGTTGATGGACGACCTCTAGATTCCCCTGTTTACAGGCGTGTGAAAGCGCAGTTTGTCCGCTCTGATCCGTCACATTCACATTCTGCTGGGTCCTGAACCTCACTATTCATGCATCCATTCTTTACAAAAAATAATTATCACCTTCCCCCCCCCCTACACAGTGGGATACTTTAGGGGGTCAAGGGGGGTGACTGGTTTTTGATATTTTGATANGGGGTACAAAGGGGATTTTAAAAAATTAGTTTATTCCATAAACATCTTATTATTCTCAAAAAAGGTTTGGCCGCTTTAGATTTAAGTTCTAATGTATAATGTTTCGTATTTGTTTTGTAGTTCCAAAATCTGATTTAAGACCAACCAATTTCTTAAAATAAGCTTTCCTATGCCCTGTTATCTGATAAACTATTTGGCACCCTGGAGACCATGGTTATTAGAATATGTGTTCTATATATTTTATTATTTAACCATTTTTGATAACATTACCATAATAAATATGTTTCAATGCTAAATTAAATTAATAAAAGTTTTTGAATTAAAAATTCAGTTTAGGCAATTTCCCACATTAACAACCCTGCATACAGACATCCTTATTTGTTTCTAAATTTCTATGAATAGTATAATATGAGATTAAAAAATTACATTTTCACAAAAAAATGGCGGCAAGAAAGAGCTTTTTAAAAAACAAATTCCCCCAAAATTGTGCGATAATATAGATGACAAAAACTGATTATTCTTTCAATTGCAAAAATGGTTTTTTTTACGGGGCTGAATACAGTGTCTGACAAAGGGTTGTCACAACAAATTACATGAATAAGAATATTTTATGAAACTATTGTGTACTTTATCATTCTTACTCACTTCATCGTGAATTTCATAATAAACTTGCTATGCATTAGTAAGCATCGTGCTATAAAGTTAAATTAGTTTTACATTATAGCACGAGTTCTATAAAGTTTTGATTGGTTCCCGGATTTTCTCCCAATAATTTAGGATATTTTCAAAATATCTTTTTTTAATTGAAATGAAAATAAAATTGAAATAAACTTTATATTTCTACTTCTGCGTTGTTTCAAAGCTTATTTGATCTAAAAATGACCATTGAAATAAGACAAGTATACAACCGTTTCATAAAATTACCTTATAACACTATTTTTTTGGCACGACGCGACGTGATATGAAGTTTTTGGACTTAAATTTTCTCTATATTTTGAAGGTTCTCGCCTTTTTATATTTTGTCCCTCGCTAAAGCTCGGGACAAAATTAAATCTAAAAAGGCTTGAACCTTCTCGAAAAAGAATAAATTTTTGTCCAAAAAACACTGCGAACCAAAATAACAGTGTTGTAAATAGTAATTACGTCATGCCTATTTGCTCCGTATAGATGCATGAAAGAATTAATGAATGGGTGAGGGGATAAAAGAATGAATGAATGAATGAGTGTCCCTGAGGAGTATAGAAACAATCTTCAGATGGTTTCCCTGTGAGACAGATGTCAGTTCATTTCTAGTTTTTAAATTTTAGAATTCTAAAAATATAATTTCAATGTACTGCGGAATAAAAGAATATTTGTTTAATAAACAACAATTTCATTTTCCGACATTGCAAAAAAAATGTTATCTAAATTTTAATCTTTGCCATAAATTCTTATTTCCTAATCCCCATATTTTTGCAACAAATTTTGCAGACCTTCCATATTTCAAACTATAAATTCTGTTTCATCAAATAATCTAAGTTTGAAAAATCTAAGGTTTAAACTATGAGGTTAAAACGATAAAGGGATTTAACAATTTGACATTGTGGTAAAGACTCAGTTATTCACTGTTATATTATTTTTATATTATTTTAAAACTGTAGAAATGAGTATTTCCTTTGCAGCTTCTGAGAGAGGTGTCCAGGAGTACATACCCGCCGTCTCCACCCTAGCCCCCGCCTCAAGCAGTAAATTAACTACTGAGACGTGTCCGCCTCGACACGCCCAAACCAGCGGCGTAGTTCCATACCTAGTAATTTAGAAAAAAAAATATTTGGTTATATTTAGGTAGCAGTTAAACTATTAGTTTTACTTAGCAGGGGTCCATATAATTCCATTTCTGATATTAAATGGGATCGGGGTTGAAATTACATTTAGGGGCATGAAAGTACACTTTATATGTCATTGTAAACTTTGACAAGTTTCAGAAGTTAATGATAAAGGATTATCCAAAAGAATTATACGTCTTTCCTAAACATTTTAAGCTTTTCTTATCATTGGGTAAACCTGTTTTTTTCAATATACAGGAATCCCCACAAAGGATGTGACTGTAAAGACAACACTCTTAAAGTTTGACTATCCCAAGGTTAGATTAATCATTTTACCTTGAAAATAGTTTTTTGTTAAATGGATAAATTGGCAAAGAAAAAAACATCTTCACATTTCCAAGGAATAATACATGTCATGAAATTAACAGTATAAATTCTGTACAGTCGTCTCTGAAGTATCATTCTTTCTGAGTAACCCTGTACAACTAAAAAAAATATTCAACCGTTTGGCCATTATAATAAATCAGTTTCAGGTCATTAGGGTAATTTTGTAAATCTGTTTGAAAGGAATTAAGTTTTTGTCACAAACTCAAATATTCTTATTTCTATAACTTGGAAACTAAATGTCGTAGACCTTAGATATTTAAAACTACTAATTTTGTTAGATCATATAATCTAAGTTTGAAATATCAAAGGTTGCAGAGATATAGAAATTAGAAAATGTGAGGTTGTGGCAAAAACTCAATTCCTTTGTTGTAATTGTTGAATGTACAGAGATAACCAAATACGAAGAGCAATAATTAACTGTTGAAAAGCAATAATTAAGTGTTGAAAAGCAAATAGTTTTACTTGAAAATTATTAAATTACTGCTTAAGTGAAATTGGTCTCTTCTGCGCAATTGCTGTGTCTCATGTTTAAAGTCATAACTTGAGTCTAAAAGTCGTCTTCGTATTTCAGAGTTTTCCGGTTCTCTCTGTATAAAGACTGAATAGTATTTAATACCTATCTCCTATCTCAGGTTTAGCTTTCTTCTCCAGCAGTAGTTTAACTATACTAGAGTATCCCCGTCCAGAACTCCACACTAAGGAGGTACAGTGGTGTTTACCTAGACAGCAGTTTAAAAAAAAAACACAATAACACATCTATGAGAAGTAAGAATAAATGATTGATTTCATCCAGGCACGCACCTCTGCCCCTTTAGTAAAAGTAAATTCAACCGATATGAAGCTAAAGTCTGACCGCGTCAACCTTGTTGCATCGGCCGGCTAGTCCAGTTCATAGAGCTAGGTACAGTACAAACTGGGACCGGAAAGGTTTCCCCGGCTCGGAAATTCAAATGTACTACGGCTGCCCGTGCAAGGTTGATGTCAGGGATTCCGACAAATTTGTCTGGCTGGAACTGTGCATGTTTGCTGTAAATATTCTAGACAGAAACAACTCTCAAGAACTGAAGAGGGTAAACCCGGACCGATATATTTTTTAAATATATTTTGTAGTTTTTTTGTCCTAGCACTCTCACTTTTGACACTATCACTGTGAAATTTTGTAACTTTTAATAATAAGTAATAAAAGGATTTTTGTAATTTTTTTATTTTTTTATTCACAGGGTTAAGGTACAGGGCGAAAAAAAGTCCGGCCACTGAAAAAAAAACTAAAATAGCCCATAATTTTTTGTGACTAAAGCTACAGATCTAAAAACTATACTTTTGAAAAGCCCTTGAAAAATGCATGTAGAAACATATGTGTCATACTTAGATGTTTGTTTAAAACAAAGAAAAAATATTTTTTTTTTTTCATTTTTATGGCTCTTTTCAGGCATTTTTTTCCACCCTCCCTAGCACCCAAACTATTCAAGTTATCGGTCTAATTTTTTTTTCTTTGAGCTGGCTATAAAAAACTGGGCTATGAACATACATTTCAACCCTTTAACTATTTTTAGAAATAATGAAAATAATGATAATTATAATAATAATAATAATAATGATATTAATGATAATAATAACTACAATGATGAAAATGTTAACACTGGTTAATACTAGTTAGTTTTGAAAAAAAAATAAACTATAAATCTGAAATTGTTCAGAAAAAAATATTTTAAAAAGCTCTGCTAGTAAAAAACAATTTTTTCCTAGGAAACATTAAAATGGAATAAACAGATGAATAAATTACCATTACATTCGGACTATTTAACCTTTTTATAAAATACTAAAAATCTTTGAATTTAAATAATTTTTTCTCACCTCTACAATTTACGTCAGGATTACCATCTAGAAGTATTTTTACAATGTCTGAAATATTCATGAATTGTATTTTTTCAAGGAAAAATTGAATCTGTATTCGTATTACTCAGAGTAGAGAATGTACACAGTGGGATAGATTATAATATGAATGCACAGTGGGATGGATACCTGTATTTCCTAGATAAGAGGCGACTAGTAATGGATTCCAGAATTCATCATCACTGTTCAAGATTTAGATTTAAAACTATTTAAGTTTATTTCAAGACAATTCTGAATTTGTTTTTTTTTTCACTTAGGAAGGANAAACAAGAAGAATATTTCTATTAGTTGTGTAGAAAACAAGAAGAATATTTCTATTAGTTGTGTAGAAAACAAGAAGAATATTTCTATTAGTTGTGTAGAAAACAAGAAGAATATTTCTATTAGTTGTGTAGAAAACAAGAAGAATATTTCTATTAGTTGTGTAGAAAACAAGAAGAATATTTCTATTAGTTGTGTAGAAAACAAGAAGAATATTTCTATTAGTTGTGTAGAAAACAAGAAGAATATTTCTATTAGTTGTGTAGAAAACAAGAAGAATATTTCTATTAGTTGTGTAGAAAACAAGAAGAATATTTCTATTAGTTGTGTAGAAATCAACTATAAGGATTGTCCTGTCAACTAACTAATCCTCGTCATATCAAACCACATTTATCCTAATAGCGAGGCTAAGCCCGCTAAACCAGATATTGTTAAAGGGATTGGTAACAAAATAGAACTAGTACAGTTTGTTCAAATTTTGATGAACTAACACAACTAAGCACAAGAGATATATTAAAATTGTTGGCCTAATTTATTTGTCTTTTCTCATTGCCTGTATTTGAAATCAAGGGAGCACATGTATGGTAAATTAAGAGAAACCATTTGAGCTGCAAATATGACTTGCTTTTAACAGAATAAATGATCTGGAATCTATAAAATTCATCTTTTTAACATGTAACAATTGAAAAGTTATGTCAAGGTTTCTGATATTGAAAACGTTGTGCATTATATAAAACATGAGACACTTTTTTATCTTTAATTTAAACTCTGAATTAATTCCTGAAATTTTTTTTGGTGATTAAAATAAATCATTAAATGTTTTCAGAAAATTTGTTTCTTATTCGAAATGTTTTGATATTATAGTTAAAAATCTTACTAGGAATTTATTAATGGATCAATTCAAGGGAAGATATAAAAAATCTTTATATCTGTTTACTAAAAAGCTGATTAATGAATAAGGAGAGTCAACTCAACCACTTATGTTGTGCGCCGGTGCAAACTAAAGAGAAGTGGTTGAACCACGTCTACACGGTTTAACCTTGTCAGTTGTCACGCTATTCATCGGGCCCTTAGTATTGTGAATCACCACAAACTCCATTCATTATGTAACCTTAATGTGTAAAACTTTCACATTTCACTTGATTTAACAGAATTTATAGTTTGAATTATCAAAGGTCTACAACACCAGTTTGCAAAGAAATAGGCATTAGAAAATCAGAAAATTTAGCAAAAATTCTAAGTACTGTAATGTAAAAATTTATAAATATAGGCGAAATCTATAACTTTCCTATAAAGTAATTGTACAAAATCATAATTGCAAGAATTACTTTTGTTTAAAATTAAAAACATAAAAAATCAATTGTATGATCAATGATAAAAATCAATTGTATGATCAATGATAAAAATCAATTGTATGATCAATGATAAAAATCAATTGTATGATCAATGATAAAAATCAATTGTATGATCAATGANTACAGTGTTGTCTTTTTTTACTTTTTTATTTAAAACCTATTCACCGAAAAAAAAATGTAACTCCGGCGTTTTAAATTAGCGCTATCATATTCAAAAGTTATTAACCTTATCTTGTTGTTTAAGAGCATGAAGTATAGTGGAGCAGTAACTAACCTTATCTTGTTGTTTAACAGCATGAAGTATGGGGGAGCAGTTATTAACCTTATCTTGTTGTTTAACAGCATGAAGTATGGGGGACCAGTAACTAACCTTATCTTGTTGTTTAACAGCATGAAGTATGGGGGAAGAGGAAGATGAATCAGGTTTGTTTACATCTGCTCCGCTCTCTAGAAAAACCTAAATCAGAGAAAACTTAAAACCTTTCTCATTTATTAATTTCTTATGTTTTTTCCCGTGTATATACCTGATAGTCCTTATTTGGACAATGGTAGGAGTCTACAGTTGGGCCCGTAAAACTATGGAATAGGAAGACGACAGTTAGGCTAAATTCATCATTCAAAATATCCAAATAAACATAAAACATATTGTGCAGTTTATACAGAATAGTTTTACTTAATGAATTGTTTTTTTGAGCTATTAGTAAAACCAATTACCTTGTAGTAACATCGAAAAGACAGAAAATTCATTGAATGTCGTCGTCTTATTCCACATAACTTTTTATTTTCAAATTGTTAAGATTATTCTTAAAATTTATTATGCAAAAATCGCCAAACCCAAAAGTTTGAACTTTTGTGTTGTGAATCTTGTGATCAAAGATTGATCCTCAATCTTAAAAGTATCCTTATTGGATATCAAGATTAACAAAAATATCAACACACAATTTCCAATCTCAGGTGCAAGAGTGGAAAGATGAGATTATTATTTTATTTTGTTTTTTTTTCGAAAAGATTTAAAAATTTACCTTGACAACCTCTATATTTCCTTGAACTACAGCATGGATTAAACCAGTCCATCCATCCTCATCCTCATCATCCACCTTGGGATTAATATTTTCATTAATTAATCCTCATCATCATCCACCTTGGGATTAATATTTTCATTAATTAATCCTCATCATTATCCACCTTGGGATTAATATTTTCATTAATTAATCCTCAT